CACTTGAGGGTAGTAACGACCAAGTATGCGTTTAAGTTGAAACAACACTCTCCAACACTGAACAACATGCAGTCTTCATTTAAATTATACATGTTTAATATTTTCGTATTACTAATTTTTCGTTTTTTTTTCGTTGTGTTTTCTTGCTGTAGTTTCTCCCCATGATTACTGTTTAGTGTTTTATTTGTTTAATTATCGTTATATTTAGCAACTGTACTTTGAAAATGTATAAAGACTTATGTACATTCATTTTATTCTGCTTTAGATACGGAATCTGATAGAATTCCGAAACGTTTATCCATGTCCCCTTTTTGTCAATAAACAATGTTCTATATCATAAGTGTCGTAGTCTTGTTTATAATCAAACTTCGTTTTCCTTCGAACACATCGATTGCTAATAATGTTAGACGTTGTTGAAAACCTAAAACCACTAGATAACATTAAGTTTTGCATGCTTTAATCCTGATGTTACTGTACATTGGTACACATTTCTGAAAATCCAATACCACTATACAATGTTACATGTTGCTGTAAACCCAGTATCACTATACAGTGTTAAAAGTTGCATGCTTTAAACTCAATACCATTATACAATGTTAGATGTTTAAGTAAACCCGATACCATTAGACAATGTTAGATGCTACTGTAATCCCGATACCACTATACAATGTTAGATGTGTAAGTAAACCCGATACCATTAAACAATGTTAGATGTTTAAGTAAACCCGATACCATTATACAATGTTAGATGTTTAAGTAAACCCGATACCATTATACAATGTTAGATTTTTAAGTAAACCCGATACCACTATACAATGTTAGATGCTACTGTAATCCCGATACCATTATACAATGTTAGATGTTTAAGTAAACCCGATACCATTATACAATGTTAGATTTTTAAGTAAACCCGATACCATTATACAATGTTAGATGCTACTGTAATCCCGATACCATTATACAATGTTAGATGCTACTGTAATCCCGATACCATTATACAATGTTAGATGTTTAAGTAAACCCGATCCCTCTGTAGAATGTGAACTAAAATGTTTACTTTGATTCTGACAGTACTTCACAATTCTAGCTAAAAATATACATACAATGACTTACTTTACCCACTATCAGATAAATTACAATGCATTGCTGTTTATATCGACTTACTTTACCCACTATCAGATAAATTACAATGCATTGCTGTTTATATCGCTTCAGGATATCAACAAAAAATATGTTATCGAAAGATACGATATCGCCAAAGTAGGAATAGACACCATATTTCTTTTTACTCTACATAAAACGCAATGTTTCATAAAATGATCAGAAAAACTGAACTCCTTCGAGTTTCAATTACACGGTATACTCGCTGTAAGTAAACTCATTCCGAGCTCGTAATGATTAGGGTATCTGAGATCTAATTCCAATGCTATAAACTAAATAACACGTGTTAACCCTATCAGTTCAATAGAGAGTAAGACGTTGCCGAATAGAATGGATACGAATGAGCACACGTGGCTAAAAACAAAAGTCATCGTAGTTTTCTTGCTGATTCAAACTCGTTTCTTTAGTAATCCCAGCAAATAATTCCCATTATAGTCCAGCTTACTATGAATAAATTGTTGTTGATTGGGAACGGTTTTTCTAAATTAGCATGATCAAATGCGGGTTTTCTGGCACAATGTAATGAATCTAATGAAGCAGCATTCCCCGAATCTCAAAGCTACATCAAAAAAATAAAAATAAACTTGACTGAGATATAATATCCCGCGAATTTAGAGTGAATCTATTACACGCTGCTCAAAATAATACTTAGAGGAAAATACGTGTCAGGAATAGCCCTTTATTTTAGATTTTAGATACTAATAGACGTCAAACGTCCGTGACAGATATAAGCTTCCCATCTATCCGCTGCATTAAAAGTTATAATATCAACGAAAAATTATTCCTGAGAGAAAAGATATATATATTGTCATCAGGGCTATAA